CTTGACCGTCTATGTCAGTGTTATGTCCGTGTGATTGTACAGACAGACACCCTTGGCTGTCCTTTCCAGCGTTATGTCTGTGGTGGTACAGACATCATTGGCTGGCTGTTGAGACATGAGAGCAAAACGAAAGCCGAGAATCAGAAGCCATTTGGGCGTTACAGACTTGATGATAAGTGCTGTACTGTTCGGAGTCTTATTTTTGTAACCCGCCATGAATGACCAGTCCAACCATCCATTCATGAACGTCTTGACTATCTTACGACCATACGAGTCAACTAGGTCGTTAACCCTAATTTTTGGATGAATATGGAATATATTTTTTTTAGTATTTTCATTATGTAGTTTGAGTATATTTCGGAATATATTTTGAGTTTTTTTAGAATATGTACTTAATGTTAATCTGGGAATATTTTTTTTGCGACTACCTTCAGGAATATTATTTAAGAGTATTTGGAATACCCTTTAGAGCATCTTTTTGGGGAGAATTATTCTATTTACTTGACATAATTTTCTTGAGAATTTTCCAGTTTATTTCGAGGAATTTTTGGAGAATTTTAGTGTTTACGTACAAGAATTTTTTCAGGGTATTTTTTTCTATATCAATGAACCTTTGTTAGAATTTGTCTGTTTTTACGTTTACTCATATTATTCACTTCTTCATCTTAAATATATGAATAACAGACAGTAGCTCTAATAATACGCTTTAAGTAATAGAGTAAAAGTGTATAATGAAGAGTAAAGTAATATAATGAAAAGTGTATAATGAAGATTAAAGTAATATAATGAAAAGTGTATAATGAAGAGTAAAGTAATATAATGAAAAGTGTATAATGAAGAGTAAAGTAATATAATGAAAAGTGTATAATGAAGGTAAGTAATATAATGAAAAGTGTATAATGAAGAGTAAAGTAATATAATGAAAAGTGTATAATGAAGAGTAAAGTAATATAATGAAAAGTGTATAATGAAGAGTAAAGTAATATAATGAAAAGTGTATAATGAAGGTAAGTAATATAATGAAAAGTGTATAATTAAAAGTAAAAGTGTATATAACTGAAAATTAACTAGTGTAAATACAAGGAAGAATTATGTAAAATACCGTAAAAAATTCATATAACGTAAAGCGATATAACGTAAGTTAACGTGAATATACCGTATTATATACTTTAAATATAACGTAATAGAGTATAACATAAAAAGGGGACGTAAATGTAACGTAGAACATTATAATCCATCATAACGTAACGTAAATATAACGTAAAATTATATAACGAATATATATAGTGTTAATTAATGAAGGAAGATGTAAGGTGAAATAGACAGCATTAAGTAATGTAAACACAATGATGTAATGTTATGATGAAAGTAAATACAAGGAAAATAATGTAAGTACTAATGAATAATGTAAATATGATATACCAAAAATATAGGGAAGGATAATTGACGAAAAAATAAGTTAAAGTACTGAACACAAACGTCAAATATTTAACGTAAATATAACGTAAAGTAATGGACGTGAATAGCAAGTGGAATACTGTTTATAATGGAAGTAAATATGGATGTATTATATATAAGATAGTTCTTTGTTGTCATTATTTATTAAGGCTCAAGTGGTGAGGGCGAGGTCCCTCTCTCTCTCAAGTTTTAATCATAGTCTTTACCGTCAGATATAACCACTTGTTGTGGACAAATGTTGACCTAATGCATTCTCCCTTATAAGTAGTTTCATTTTCTATTACTATTGTAGTTAAAATCTATTTTCAGTTTTCCAGAATTGTTGACACTTTTTTCTTAACAGCAATTTAAACAAATGTGAATTAGAATATATATATATATATATATATATATATATATATATATATATATACATATATATTTGTGCCAGCATCTTGTGAACACTGACATAAAATTCCAAATACTTGCAGGGATTTCCAGGATCCAGAATCTTTTTCCAAGAATACTTCAAACACTCCGAATACATTCTCAAGTCTCTCACTCACAGAAATCTATCTCACACTATTTCTCAACACATTTCTGTACTGAAATCTTTCCCCAGAAACTTTTTCCAAAACAATCTCACTGCCTTAGCTTTTGTTCCACTTTTTGGTGACTTTTCTGACTCGTGTTGGATAGTTTTACAACCTCTATTTGCTCTCTCTTCTTTTTTGTCTATATTTTTTACATGTTATTTTGTATATTCTGTTGGAGTGTTTTCCTCTTGTTACTCTTCTCCCTCCCTCTATATATATATATATATATATATATATATATATATATATATATATATATATATATATATATATATATATATATATATATATATATATATATATACTGTATATATAGTGTGTGTGTGTTGGAAATGACAGTGGATCAGTAGTGTTCACTGCCTCATCTACAGACACCCTCGGGGATGGTAACTTGTGCACCACGTGATCATAGACCTAAGTGCTGCGGGCGTAAGGTTTACAGACATCCTCCAAATATATCCCAAAGGTTGTACATGTGCAGCTCTTGAGAGGCAAGACGAGAGCCAAGAATGTTGCTGGCGTTTTTGTCAATGAAACTCGTGTTGGGAGCCAGGGTCTGTGTTTGAGTGAACCTAAACCTTTATAGGCAACATGGTGGTGCATGTGTTTCACTCCCTTATAGTTGACAATCTTTATGGCGTCTGTGTGGTCAGCAGCACCACTATGATGTCCTAGGCTAAAACAGACAGAAGTAATAGCTATGGTAGAAGCACAAATATTATTCCCCGCAGCTGTCCTCCAGGCATTATGTGGTCACTGCGTCACGCCACCTTGAAGAGTCGCCAGGAATCTTAAATCAAGGTTCTCGTTTATCTGGACACTGAGTTGAGGCTTCACTTGATGACGTCATTGAATGTGTTGTGGTGGTGCTTGTTTCTTGTTCTTTGTTTCTTCTTTCCTCATGTTTCTTCTCTTCTTTTTTCATGTTTCTTCTTTTCTCTTCTTTCTTTATCTTTCTTATTATTTTTCTTTTTGTTCTTCTTTCATGTTTATTCTTTATTCTTCTAATTGTTATGTATAATCTCTCATATATCGTGAACAGTCATCCTTGCCTTCCCGAGAACCCACCATGAACCGTTTCAATTGTTCCACTGGTTCATCAAGAGACTGCCAGAGAACCACAATGAACGACCTTCTCTACCACACACGACCCACCCTCAACATTCACAAGATAGGTCGTGTTCAATTTTAATGCAGGGTGTGTGTGTGTGTGTGTGTGTGTGTGTGTGTGTGTGTGAGTGAGGGATCTGTCGTGGTCTACGCTGCTCTATATTTCACTGGTGGCCTTCACTGCCCTCCCATCTACGTTCTCTTTAGTCTGAGTTACGCCTAACTTGACATTCTCTCTCTCTATTGGTAAACGGAATTGTGTTATTAATAAATTCAATAGAACTTCTGTAATGAAAATACGTGTTGAAATACGTGCTGTCCTTACCAGATACTTGTTGTGTTAGAGTTACGAGTCGTGTAATGGGTTTCCTTAGATGGTTTGTGTCTGGGGAATATATTATCTGTAACACTTATATACCATTTCGTTTTCGATTGCTTAATAAAAAGAGTCGAATCTATATTGAATCCCATGAACCGAGATTCTCTAAGGGACGTACAGATATAAAATCACAACTACGCTTCTGCAGTAAACCACCAGTGTTAAATAACCGATCAATCTGGGATAATAACCGCTAGATCTGATAGCCGCTAAAACTGATACCATAACCGCTAAATTTATTACCATCAGCTTCCCTCTCTATTTACTTGTACTGTGCATGTTTGTATTCCTTGTTGTGTGCTTCTACCTCACCTGGCCTACCTCCCTCTGTCTCTCTACCTGGAGTCTACCTCACCTGGCCTGTATCTCTACCGACCTGTAGACTCCTTGTGGACGTCAGAACCAACACCTCACTTACCTACCTCTTCCTTCACTCTCTCTCTCTCTCTCTCTCTCTCTCTCACTGTCTTTCACTCTCCCTGACAACTGTATAATAAGTGATAAGCCCTCGGCAAGAAGATTGATACAACAGGAGAGAGAGAGAGAGAGAGAGAGACGAAGGGAATAACTAAGGTCGTTTTAGATAAAGAAAAAGAGAATAAAAACGGCCGCAAACAGAGAGAAGCTCGGGAAGCAGCCATCCCCTGGACTCCCCGCCCACCTGGTACGATGTCCTCCGTAAACTTCCTGACCTCTCGTACGTCTACGGGAAAGGGTCGCGGAAAGGGGACGTGATTGCTGCCCGTATCATCATTGGGTATGAGTTTGCTTGGGAGATTGGTATCCCCAGCATCCCCTGAGCAACGCTCTTGTGCATTATGCAGAAGACCCGACAGCAGCACCCTTATCCACTACCTCCTAAGATGTCCCCACACACAACGCCTGCTGGACCACCACTCCACGACCCCCTGACGGAGACACGATGATCCTCCCCATACTGGCCAGATATTATGTAAATAATATTGATTATGTGTTAAAGGAACATCCTTCCTTCCTTAGGCTTTAGTAAGCCCCTTTATAATATTTATACTGTATATACTTGTCACACTTGCCAGATGCTTCTGGTGTCATTGTACAGGGGTACCTAGTGACAGCACTAGGATCCCGCTTCCTCTATCAAGGAATAAACAATTGAAATTGAAATTGAATTGAATAAAAACGAAGAAAGAATTGGATAATAATTGATAATTTTAAGGAATAAATGAAGTTAGATAACGACAAGTAACGAGAAAAACACAAGATTATCATTTATGGTTAGATAATAATGATGATAATATTATTATTATTATTATTATTAGTAGTAGTAGTAGTAGTAGTAGTAACAACAACAATAACAAACTTTACAGTAATAATAATAATAATAATAATAGAAGATAAATATTTTCCTTCACCTTAAAGATAAAACAGTAATACAACAGGACATTGTTAAGAACATTTTCCTCAACGGTTCACTAACACGCAGCTTCTTCTCTCCACAGGCCATGTTTACCTGGTGGATATCCTGGGTATGGGCGTGGGTGCTTTGGTCATCGTGGGCGTACGTGGGCGTCGGGGCCATGTGGGCAGCAGGCATCCATCAACAGGAGGCGGCAGGGAGTCCTGGGGCAGCTGTAGGAGTGAAGAAAGACGTGCAACTGGGTCCCGGTATGGGCGGGTCAGCGATACAGATCCACGGCAGGGAAGGGGCACAGCACTTCGCCACACAGCCCACACCGCAGACTGCTGTGGTGGGCTCCACGGCTGTGTTACCCTGCAGGTAAGTCATCACTCCTACTTGCTGTGTTATCGTTCTTTCTGCTGCTGTTGTAAGACCTCCCCCGTTGCTGTGTTCTCCTTGGTGCTGTGTTGAGACCTTTTCCGGTGTTGTCTTTGGTGTTGAGTTGGCCCTGTTGCTATGTTGTTCTTGGTGCTGTGTTGAGACCTTTCCTGGTCCTGTGTTGTCCTTGACGCTGTGTTGCCCTCTTGGTGTTATGTTGTTCTTGGTGCTGTGTTGAGACCCTTCCCGGTGCTGTGTTGCCCTTGACGCTGTGTTTCCCCCTTGGTGTTATGTTGTTCTTGGTGCTGTGTTGAGACCCTTCCCGGTGCTGTGTTGCCCTTGACGCTGTGTTTCCCCCTTGGTGTTATGTTGTTCTTGGTGCTGTGTTGAGACCCTTCCCGGTGCTGTGTTGTCCCTGTTGATTCTGTGTTGACGCCACCACCACCACTACCACCTCCTCCTCCTCCTCCAGTTGCTCTGCCTTCACACCTTTAAGCTCTGACTGGCTGGTACCTTCTGCTTTAATGACCACTCTTTGATTTGCATGTTTGATTGACCCTTATATTTTATAGATGTTGTCGTTTCTCATTAATCAAACTGATAGTCACATGTTTTTTTCCTTTCTCTATATTTATATTTTTACGAGAAGTATTGCAATTTTTTTTAATAGAGCGACGTCAGTATATTGTGTTTATCGTATTCTAAGTTTTATTCCGGTTTTTATTGATGGTTTTTACGATAGTTTTTGGTTTTTGTGGTTTTTTACGTTTCTTTTAGTTTTTTCTGTATTTTGGAGTTTTGTAAGTTGATGGACCAGGTTTTTTGTAGTGTTAAGTCCTGTTTTGTTTTTGTTTTTTTAGTTTTTGTTCGTTTGTCTTGGGATATTTATGCTGGTATAAATTTAATTTTAGTATTTTTCGTCGTGTTCTAGATATTTTATGCTGGTGTCAGGATAAATTTTATTTTATGGTATTTTATTAGTTTTTGTACTTTTTTTTATTCTTGAGGAGAACTTTTATGAGATTTCTTTTATTTGTCTTATTTTTTGGTATATTTTAATAAAGTGTTTGTGTACAGGTATTGTGACAAGTCCTTTCAGGGTTTATTTGTGTTGTTTCCAGATTTTGTTATTGTTGTTGTTGTTGGTGTTGTTATTGTTGTTGTTGTTGTTGTTTGGTGTTGGTTGTTGTTGTTATTGTTGTTGCTGTTGGTTGTTGTTGTGTTGCTGTTGTTGTTATTGCTGTTGTTGTTAGCTGTTGTTGGCTGTTGTTGTTGTTGTTATTGTTGTTGTTGTTGGTGTTGTTATTGTTGTTGTTATTGCTTAGGAGACGTTCATGTTTCTTTTACGGTTGATTTTATTTATTTTTTTTTTTGCTATGGTCGATTTTTTAAAGTGATTTTTAATTTTATGTCTTGTTTCTCGAAGTAGTTTTTGAAAGTCGTGAAGACATTTTTGTATTTTTTTCTGATAATCTTTGTAAGTCATTTGAAATATTTTAATAGATTATATGTGATTTTTTGTAAATTTTATGTAATTTGAAATAATTTAATACTGTTCATTAAATTTAAATACTTTTATGAAAAATGTTATTTTTGAATAAAATTTTTCGATATTTTTTATACTTTGATGTGAAAATATATGTAATTGTTTGAGTGAGGCGATGATGTTCTGTTAGTACGATAATTACTGTAATTTTTGGTTGCTGTCCGTTTGTGTAAATGTTGACGATACACTAATGTATATTTCTCTCTCTCTCTCCCTTTTGTCTCTACATGTTCTGTTCCTCTTCTGCCACTTTTATCCATTCATTATCATTACTTTTCTTTTACTGTCTAATCACAATTTTTATTCAATTTCCCTGTTATCCTTTTTTGCCTTTTTCTTTTGTTCTTTTTCAATTTTCTTATTTTCTTATCTTCTAATTATCTTCTTTTATCTTTTGTTTTTCCTGTTGCTTTATGGTCTTTTGTGTCATCTTCCTCTTTTACAATTTGTTATTTTGTAATTTTTTGCCATTCTCTCTCGTCCCCCCATCTTTCCCCTGCCACACCCCTTTTCTTTCTCCCCCATCCTGGTACCTCTCCCTCACTCCTACCCTGGTACCCATCCCTCTTCCCCTACCCTGGTACCCATCCCCTCCACAGAGTCATCAACAAGGTCGGTCACCTACAGTGGACTAAGGACGGGTTTGGTCTGGGTACTGAGAGAGATCTATTTGGCTTTACCCGCTACGCTATGATCGGCTCAGATGATGAAGGTAAGTGTGTGTGTGTGTGTGTGTGTGTGTGTGTGTGTGTGTGTGTGTGTGTCATAATAGTGGCTATCAAACTACGTCAATAGTAAAACAATAATAAAAACAGTTCTCAATGATTCACACCGTGTAACCTTTGACCTCTCGGGTGCTTCATTGTCTAGACAGGTGACCTCTTGACCTCCTGTCGGAAAAAAAAATAGTGTCAGGAATGATTAGCTTTAGCGTTTAGTATTATAATGTTTTAGGGTCGTAATCCCATTTCATTCCTATTAATATTTCTGATTATTCTTTCCTATTTCTTCTTGTCGCTTGATCTTTCTCGGCCGTCTCTCTCTTTATTTTTCTATCTTTTAGATTTTCTTCTGCTTATCCCTCTTTTTTGTGTCTTTCACGCACACATATACACACCTACTACAACAACTACTACTACTACTTTTGTTTTTCTTTTTCTTTTTAATAATGG